GAGGGGTCGTCACTCCGTTGCCACCTTGGCGAGGTTGGCTCTTACACGAGCCTGGTCCACCGAGTCCAGTAAATTTTTGGCATCCACTGCCAGCGCGTGCGAAGCCGTCAGCATCTGCTTCTTACACTCGTCGCTCAGCGACGTCACCGAGTTCTGCTGCGCCAAACGCATCTTGCTGATCAGGTCCGCCAAGTCTTTGCTGAGCAGCTTCTGCGTTCCTTCGATCTGAAGAGACAGAAAGATTATCAGCGAAGGAATACAAAATAATAACAAAAATCGGTTCTGATGAGGCCGAATTCTGGAAATCCTCCCCAAAGATTAAATCATGTTTATAAGAAGAATTATTATTTCTACTGACCTTCAAATGTAAAATGTGAGATAATAAAATGTGTAACTCTACTGCAAAGTCATGAGGAAGGAGGAGGAGGAGGAAGGGAAGGAAAAGGAGAAGGAGAAGGAAAAAGGAGGAGAAGAAGGAAAAGGAAAAAGGAGGAGAAGGAAAAGGAAAAGGAAAAGGAGAAGGAAAAAAGGAAAAGGAGGAGAAAAAGGAAAACAAGGAGGAGGAGGAGGAGGAGGAGGAAAAGGAAAAGGAAAAGGAGAAAGAAAAGAAGAAGGACAAGGAGGATGAGGAGGAGGAGAAGGAGAAGGAGGGGAAGAAGGAAAAGGAGAAAGAGGAAAGAAGAATGAGACAGAGAAGGAGGAGGAGATGAAGAAGAAAAAGCAATAAGGAGAAGGTGGAGGAAAAGGAGAAGTAGAAAAAGGAAGCAGGATGAGAAAGAGAAGAAGAAGTCAGAGAAGGAGGAGGAGGAGGAAGAAGAGGTTCAGAAGGAAGCAGGATGATGAGGAGAAGGAGGAGGATGAGGTGGAGGAGAAAGAGGATAAAAAGGAGGAGGAGGAGATGGAGTAAAAGGAGAAGTAGAAGAAGGAAGAAGGTGGTGGAGGAGGTGAAAGAAGGAAAAAGGATTAGGGAAGAAGGAGAAAGAAGAAGGAGAAAGAAGAAGGAGGAGAAAGAAGAAGAAGGAGAAAGAAGAAGAAGGAGAAAGAAGGAGAAAGAAGAAGGAGAAAGAAGGAGAAAGAAGAAGGAGAAAGAAGAAGGAGAAGGAGGAGAAGGAAGAGACGAGCAGGAGGACAAGGAGATGGAGGAGGAGAAGAAGGAGGAGTAGGAGAAGGAGGGAGGAAGAGAAGGAGGGGGAGAAGGAGGAAGAGTAGGAGGAGGAGCAGGAGATGGCAGAGGAGATGGAGGAGAAGAAGAAGAAGGAGGAGGAGAAGGAGATGAGGAGGAGAAGCAGGAAGAGTAGAAGAAGGTGGAGGAGAAGGAGGAGAAGGAGGAAGAAGGAGGAGGAGAACAAGGAGGAGGAGAAGAAGGAGATGGAAGAGGTGAAGGAGGAGAAGCAGAAGATGGAGGAGGAGAAGACAAAGGAGATGGAAGAGGAGGAGCAGAAAGAGGAGTAGCAGAAGAAGGAGGAGGAGAAAAAGGAGGAGGAGGAGGAGGATAAGGAGATGGAAGAGGAGATGAAGGAGAAGGAGGAGGAAATTATTATTATTACCATCACATCTGAAAATGTAAGCTGATAAAATGTTTAACTGCAAAGACGATTATTGACTTAAAATTATCCTTATTATTATTAGTTGTTCTGGTGACAACTCCAAATGTTGATTTCCTGTCACCTTCTGTAGATCAGTAGTCACCGGGACTTATAGAGGGGAAGAATCTCTCTGGTGGGGCACACACAGCTAATAAAACCGGAGTCTCTCACATTCTTCTTACAGTTCTCTGTTTATCACGTGCTCTGTCCTTACCTCGGTGCGTGAAGACTGCGGCAGAGATGGTAGAATCTCATCCACACTGCCTATGAGCTTCCGCAGCACGAGCCCGACATTCTGCAAGGAGAAGGACAGAAATGAGACATATTCAATTATTGACATTAAGACCGGCGTACTTGAAAGAAACCATCATGTGATCTGCTGCTCTACTGCCACAACCCGCATCCCCCGTTGTCATCTTGGTCCTCCTCAGTCATTGGGGGCTGGCTGCCAGTGCAGACAGCCAAGCCCCTGATGAAGCAAATCAGGTCTGCCCACTGGCTGCTGCGTCCCTGCTCTCTGCCCCCTCCTGTAATAAAGACCGCTCACTGCCGCTCTCTCTCCTTGTGCAGGGTGACCGGTCTTGTCTCCGCCCCCTCCTGTAATAAAGACCGGTCACTGCTGTTCCCTCTCCTTGTGCAGGGTGACCGATCTTGTCTCCACCCCCCTCCTGTAATAAAGACCAATCACTGCTGCTGCTCTCTCTTTGTGCAGGGTGACCGGTCTTGTCTCTGCCCCCTCCTGTAATAAAGACCAGTCACTGCTGTTCCCTCTCCTTGTGCAGGGTGACCGATCTTGTCTCCACCCCCCTCCTGTAATAAAGACCAATCACTGCTGCTGCTCTCTCTTTGAGCAGGGTGACCGGTCTTGTCTCCGCCCCCTCCTGTAGTTTCCTGCTGGGCCCTACCCACAGCTTTGCTCTCTGCACAGGCTATATACAGCCCAGTGATGATGTCACCTCTACATATACAAGGTAATACCCGGGTCTGCGTTCTCACCTTGACCACACCAACGTATTCCTCGGGTGGGATCTGGTAGATGTCGTTCTTTAATTGTAGGACAGATTTCACCAGGTCCATCACACTCCGATAGACGTTGTCATCCGTGCGGTCGATGTTGGCAGTCGGCGTCGGTTGAAGAGACTGGGAGATGAAATAAAACAGCATGAGACCTGGTTGACCAATGCAGGAAGGGTCATCAATACGACTCTCTGCCAGACCATCCAATGAATCCCCGGGGAGGATTGGATTGGACAGATTTGACTCATTCTCTTATATCCGCAGCTGGTTACAATGTATCTAAACCCGAGAACAAAAATATATATGGCTGCCTCCCAGTCCTTCCTTAAAGGGGGCATTAAAATCACATTATTTTATGTGCCTCCCCCACTTCCTCCAGACTGTTATTAAAAGGAGAACTATGAGGGGGGGAGGGGGTGCTTTTCACTCACCTCATAGTTCTAGCTGACCTGTGACAATGAGACTGTCACAGGTCGGCTCAGTAGATCGGGAGGTGAGCGAGCACATACCGGCATTCGCTCACCTCTCGATCCTGTCACGGCTCTCTGCCGTGACAGTGGAGGGGCTGTATCCCCCCCTCCCCGCTCCGATCCTCCAGCGCTGACTGGCGGAACGGACCTCTAGATAGGCAGAGCCAGCTGTCAGTCACACAGCTGGGCGGATCTCGACATCGATGTCGGGATCCGCTCCGGCGTCTCAGTATACGGCGAGCTGTAGCTCCCTATATACTGAGCCTAGGGTGACGGGAGGACGCTAGTTTGTGTCCTCCCGTTACCCTAAGGAGAACTATGGGGAAAACACTGACCCCATAGTTCTCCTTTAATTTCTGCTGCCTCAGAACACCATCTCAGCATGACCGACCTTCAGACTCCCCACCTTGTTGTAGGACCCCATAGTTCTCCTTTAAGGTTTTACGTGGACTTTATAGGAGATTTACACTATATTACCAAAAGTATTGGGCCCCTCCCCCTCCAAATCATTGGATTCAGGTGTTCCGTGACATTTCCTGGCTACTAAATATTCCACGGTCACCTGTAACTGGGATTATAACAAAGTGGAAGCAACTGGGAACAACAGCAACTCAATGCCGGGACCAAGCTTGCTACTGACATAGGAGAAGAGCCACAG